GCAAGACTCGAAAGAAGTGGTGGAAGCTGATACCCTCATGCATATGGTGGTCAGTGTAAAAGGAAAGAAATGGGAGATGTCTTGAAGATAGAACTAATTCCATTCACAAAGTAAAGTGGAATTGTTTAGTATCCGTACTTTTTTGATGTAAACAACTCTGTATAGAAGATGTGGATCAATCTATAGAATTAATAGGGAGCTTATAATTTTGGTTAGGGCTGTAAATTTTTTAAGGTGGCCAGCTTGTCCTTGATGTTAAAGAATACAACTTTACCAATGTTCCAAAAAAGATGAAACCTTCTATTAGAAAAGCTTAGGCTTACCTAAAATACCTTTAGAAGGGCCTTAAGTAGCTTTTCAGTCTCTATATTTAAGAAAAAAGGTTAAACTACAGCGAAAAACAGAAAAATAGTATTAGTCCACCAGCACAAGAAAAGTAAAAAATGCCCTTAAATTTGTCATTATTGCATTACTGTAGATACTTACCAAAACAAAAATTAACTATAGATTGATAACAGTAAACACTGAAGAAGATTTTAAGAACTCAAATTGTACAAGACCCAATAGTAAGACTTTGAATATTTGATAGGTGTCTAGTAATAGTGGAAGGGCTTGGCCGAGACTTCTAAATTACCTAAGAGAATCTGATATCATTCCCCTATACGGAAATTCTTGGCTGGGTTGTTCCTTTTGATGTGTTAGGTTGACAAAAACTGACTAGTTCTAGTGTCTTGTATCTGTTTATAAGTGTTCAATTTTTTCTGTTATGCAGTGCTTCATTGAAGAGCTATGCACACGAGGATATATCTATTGGATCATGGATGATGGGTCTTCAGACAACTTACACAGATGACAGCCGCCTATGCTGTAGCACCACCACCAGCCAAGGTAAACAGTTGGTCTTATTTGTGCTGATATGAATCAGGTTTAAGTATTTTGGCTCTTGATTGTTAGAGAGTATTCTTGACAATGTTTTTGTTGACCGAGTGTACATGAAACGGTAGATACAATTGAGGGAATATAGAAACAATCACAAAAGTAGAAAGTGAGGAGCCTCGACAATGACTAGTTCTATGTATAGGGATAGTAAAAGGATCCTATGAGAAGAAAGATTGAGACCAAAATTATTTCTTTCCCCATCTCTTTTGTATAAATTCTTCTTTTGCTAGATTGAGTTATTTATATTATGGAATGTTGGCCATTGTATTCAATGTGTTAAAATCTCAGAACTCTCTGTTTTCCAGACAAGGTGTGCTCATTGGCTTGAACAGGAATGATGTTATTCCATTCCATCTTGCTGGGTGACAACTTTCCATTTGTTTCTATTGGAGCATTCCATGATTCGAAATGGAAACATGCTGTTTCTGGCTCAGGTAGTATTGACATTCTTGCTGACGTAATTCAGCTATTATATACATGGAGTGGGCAAAATCCTTTATAGGATATGTACACTACTATTGGACTAGAGAGTGTAAATCTTGGAGAACTTCAGTTTCTTAAAGATGGAAATAGTTGTTGATGAAGTGATTAAATTAGTGGAACATGATTTTGTCCTTGCCGTGATTATATTCTTATATACAATTTGAAGATCTACCTGTTAAGCCCTTTCGTATCAATAAAAGGAACAACAAAGAGGAGAAGAGGTAATGGAAGTCCAGTGACACCTTTTGCATAATTCTTGGTCATTTTAGGATAATGGAAAGCAAAATGTAGCTGACGTAATTTTCATAAAATTTTCAGTTTTTAATCCTTTTGTCAGCAAGACGGACCCTTCTGCTAATCACCTTGCCAACTGGATTCTTAAATTCATTACAACACTATTTTAAATCCCACTAACCATTAACTAAACCTATGCGACAATAATGTTGCTGAGTTGGAAAAATGCTTGATTGCACCTGTTTAGAGGCGAGTAAATATGATATTTTACATTTTAAAAAACACATTGAATTTTTAAGAAACAATTTTTTTAATTTAAAAAAGCTATTTCTATTTCAATACGTGATTCAAATTTATTTGGAACTCTAATGCAAGTTCGAATGGAAAACCAAAATCTCTCCCCTCCCCCATCCCTCAACTTTCTTCTTCTCCATCCATTCTCTTCTTTTTCTTCGAAGTCACCCACCACACCCTCTCTTTTTCTTAGCCCAATCTCCTCTTCTAATGCAAATCAACACTCCATCCCTAATCCTTTCGTTTTGCTCCCCACCCTTCAAATTTTTTAGTTATTTAGATTCTAAAATATTGAGACTTATTTGTGTTAGTTGGGTTCAAAGAGAATGTGTGGGTATGAGTTAACATATACGGTGATGGTGGGTATTAAAATTTTAAAAACTCCATTGATAAGCTTGAAGAGCAACAAATGGGTATTGTGAATTTGTGAAATTAATCAAAATTGTGATTGAGACTCATTGGGTTTGTTTTGAATGAACTTGTAGTTGAAATTTCAATTCAAATGAGGAATAATTTCATCATTTGGCATTAATTTGATGCTCAAGTTGTGAGTAAATATGAATACCATGACTCTTTGAGAATTCTTAAAATTTGTAAGAGTAACATATTTGATTTTTTTAATATTTAATTTCTTATGTGTCATTAAAAAATGATGTGAAATTATGTGTCATCAATTAGATTGCACCCACCTTGACCAGATAAGAAAAAAATTTAAAATATTATGTTTTAAAGCATTTAAGAATTCAATAAAGAAATGAAAGGTTTCAACTATCACCAAATTCAACGGCTCATAGAATGACTTGCATTAATATGTATATTGATGGTATGTAACATTCGTTTTTATTTAATAGAGACCTCACATGTGCTTTTTGATTATGGAATTATTCATAAAGCAACTATGGTGATTGGTGATTTGACGTTCAAAATTTCGAGTTAATGATATATTTTTCAATGATATCGGCAAGTGGCAGAGAAGATAATATCCCAAATGTAGATCATAGATTTAAAATTCTCTTACATGCCTTTTTGATTGAGCTCGTCACACGAGACTTGTCCAATTTTACCTTGTTAGTGTGGTTTGCGAGCTATTTATTACATTGAAGCATGAGTTATTCTATACACACATGAACCCAAACCCAAAGATAGTGACGGTAAGTTCCCTAGTAAAGAAAAAAAAATCTATCTCAATGACTTGCTATTAGATCAACTCCCTCCTATATAACATGATTTGATCCATCTTGCATCTTTTTTGCAGATCACAAAATCGCAACATAATTTGTAAGATCCAGCAATGCATTGATTCATGGCTGAGCTGAAGAACAGATGTAGCACATTTTGGTTGAAAACCGTTAGTTTCTTAAAGGAGTCTAACAAAAGTTGCAACTTTTGAGGACAGTGAAGGGATGTTTTTGACGAGAGAGTTGTTCGGACCTTACTTTCAATCCAAAAGTTGCGAGTTCGAGTGTGGGAGATCCTAGGGGGAGTGAAAACAAAGAAAAAGTATGGATGTTTTTTTTTTTTGTTAATTACGTACTTGTGCAAGGATGTAGTTTAAGTTTAACTAAGGTATAAATGAGGGATGTTTACAGAATGTGAAATGGAGATTAGCAATTAACCAACAAAAAATACTAATAATTAAGCAATCACATCATAGATAAATCAGTTGGTACTTCAAATACAAATTGCAAACAATCCCAAACATCAATAGATTACCAAATACACTATGCATTATTCAGTATGATACAAATAAACAACAATTTAAAGGGTAAAATTTATTCTTAATTGCACACGTTAATTTTGTCTTTACACAAACAGATCCATGAGAAATACGCAGTACATTCATAAGAAAACCCTATATTTATTCATAATTCCCAGATCCAAAAGTAATTAAGAAATCACAGTTCCAACAATTGAATACTTAGCTTCGAATTTGGTCTCCCAATCATTGAGAACACCCATTTCTTTCTCAGATAACCCATCAAGAGATGGAGAAACATCTTCTTCGTTCTTGCTCATCTTTGCAAGTGCTCTGCTTGCATCTTTTCCGGCGAACATACAGTAAGGCCCACCGGGACCATAGAACGAATTACCGGCGCTCACATCGAAGATTCGACCTTTGATTGCCACGTAAATTGGCTTTGATGGATCTGATCCGTCATATGCCTTGAGCTCATCGGCTGTTAGCTCCATGATTTCTAAATGAGTTTTGGTATCGCTTTACTTGTGGTGGGTAGCAAGTGATGTGATACTTATCCTTTTCTGCTTTTTTTTCTTTTTTTTACTTAAGTAGAGGTCTTTATTTCATAAATAAAAAGGTCCAGGACCTGAACCGACCCAGGCCCAAAAATAAACAAACAAGAAAAAAAAAGGAGGAAATATCAGTTCCAGGACCTGCCATGTCCGGACCTCAAAGATAACCAAAAAGGGGAACAAAAATGCTTCATCTCCTTCATCACAACTCTATCAACCATGGTTAGAGAGCAGCAATGAAAGAGAGATATCACGAGCTTCCAAATCAGCATCCAACTCCACTCCAGTCATTGAAAGTTGTTGAGCTTAAGGTGTTTACACCTAACACATTCCAAGTCTCACGAATGTCATGAAAACAATCTTAATGAAGACTTCTTCTTCTCTACAACGACAAATCTGGTGAGTTCCTGATGATTTTAAAGCTTTTGATGTATAAACCATCTTCCTGTCCCTTTTGATAGTCGACTTCAGATGGACTCAAGCCTCACCATAGTCTGCAAATTCCTAAAAGAAACCACCTGGTAAGATTGAGTTCTTCACGATCCATATCCCTTTATGTGATTTCACTTTTATTGTTGTCATGCCCTTATCTACCTGCTATTACATAACAATGTTTCGCCATCTTCCTCGACCCTCAGCAGATTGAGCTTAAAGCTGATACCACTGCTTGAAGTTCAAGAAAAATACGTACTTTATTTATCTGTAAATGCTCTTCATACTTGTCACTGCTGCATCTGTTTGTAAGTTTCAGAGTCTGCGATGTGACCTATTTTATTGCTATCTTCGTTGTATGACCCTAATTAACAAAAATCTCCATTTTGATATCTTTTTATCCTGAGATTAGGAAGTTTTGCTTTTTCTGTATTGATGATGCCTCTAGCTTCCCTTGGTATATCTTGAATATTTGAATATGTTAGTATTTGAGTCCCTACAAAACAGAAAATGTGATTAGTAAAAAAATCAGCCAACTGATTTCCTTCTCTGAGTGTATGTTCCACTGTCACTTCCTTGTCCTTCATAAGCATCTTGATCCTCTTGACTTCCATCGCTATGCCCCAAGGGATTTCCCAGCTTCCATCCAGAATATTCTTCAAAGATAGAGAATCAGTTTCAAGTGTAACAGGGAGAAGATTGTGTTGTACACAATACTCCAGCCCCAATCTTAAGGCCACCACTTCTGCCACTAGATTCGAACCATCAAATAATCTCTTTACTTCAGCATAAATTAAGTTCCCTTCTCCATTCCTGATACAAAAAGCCCCAGAACTTGGGCCTGGATTTCCCTTCGAAGTTCCATCAGAATTGCATTTAAAGGACCCCATCTCTAGAAGCTTCCACACTACTATTCTGCAACCAAGGGTGGGAATGTACTCCTCCAAAAATCTTACTAACCCAGGCCAAGATGTTGGTAAGTTTTTGAGCCAAGGGTAGTTATACTTGGCTAACAGAAACAAATTTATGTTTATTTCTAATTCCATGCCCATATATGACATTCTTCCTCCATGATTAATGGTGTTACTCCTCTCCCAAATCTGCCATATTGTAAATAAAGGCACTGCATTGAAGAGTATTTGCAACTTAGGTGTTCTTTCTGCATTCCACCATTTCATTACAGAATCCCTTAATTGTAAAAAAGGACCATTTATCCCCCTTGCACCTGCAAAATTACCCCATAGCCTGTTAGCAATTGGACACTTAATAAATAAATGTTCAATTGTTTCCCTCTCATTTTCAACACAACATTTACAAATTAGTTCATCACATATCTGGCTTCTTACAAGCACTTCCCCAATAGGAATTCTCTTAATCCAGAACCTCCAAACCAAGAAGGACACTTTGAAAGGCATTCCTTTTATCCACAACTTCTTGTAATCCCCTAGAACATCACCTGGTTGTCTTAGTATTTCCCAAGCAGACTCGCCTGTGAATTTCCCAAAAGGATTAAGCATCCACCAGGGTTTGTCCCATTCTGTTGACCCTTCTTCAACCATAAGATTATGCTGGATGTGATTACTAACCTCCTCTGGAAATAGCATAGTTAGTGTTAGAATATGAATAGGTTTATACAATCCTATTAGAATAGGAATAGGTTTATACAATTCTATTAGAATAGGAATAGTGATAGAAATAGAAATAGGAATACAAAATAGTATCCTACTTGGTAAATGATTGTATTCTAGGGTCTATAAATAGGGTCTCAGTGTAATAATGTACACAACAATAATTCAATAATATTCTTTTCCTATATTTCTCACATGGTATCAGAGCCTCTACGATCTTGGTAAACAATCAAAGAGCTTCCGCTGCCGGCGGGCGGCTATTATCCATATATG